AACATTTAGGGAAGCTTTGGGTGGGGGAAGTAGTAGGTTCCCCAGCAATGGATGGTAAGGCAGGGGTCCTTATTTTACTCCCAAACATCTCCCATGCAATACCCAATTGGTAGACAGTGCCGAGCTCGGCGTAAGAAATTATTTTTTTCCCAAACACAAATGGGCGTGGAATCTTTTTTTCACTGTAGCAATGAACAGTAAAATACACTCAGCAATGCACATTACAACAAAACAAAACACCTGTTTTATGGTGCAGTATGTTGGGGTGCCATTTATTGTGAGGTGGTGCATATACTGTATACAATGCATATACTATACACTGTGGTGGTGCACTGCATTATTTTTAAAAGATGTGTTCATAATGAATGGGCTGTCTGAATACAACTCAAGTTAACGTGGCAGAACATGATTTAATGCATGTGCACCTCAACAGAAAGTTTAAGTGTGAACAGGCCCTAAAAAAAAATTATTTACCCAATGCAAGCCTTCATTTTAGTTGAACTGACTTTTATATCAGTAAGAGTTATTTTATTTTATTTAATGACTAGTGGAATTTAAGAAGATATATTTGCAAATTGATTTTTCCATACAGATGCCACAAAAGAAAAAAAAAATCATTGTGCATGCAATAAATTCAGCTGATCTGTGCAAGAAAACATGATTTTTGATCATAAAAATAAATACAAAGTAATGAATTTAGTGAATATATGTACCCCTCTACTCATTCCCCTTTGAGGGGGCACATATCTGGGAGATCCTTTAGTATAAAGGTGGCTTACAGATTCCACTATATGCTTCTCATATTACCACACACCTCCTTCTTGAAGTACCAGAGGTGGGATGCATGTCTTCTTCCTTCAATATTGGGACAAGGTGCATGGCAAAGGGTGGAAGCCTGGTCTGGTTCAGAAAGGGTGCTGAATGCACACCACCCAGGCTGCATACATATATACTGGTCTAAGTATAATGTTAATAGAAACACCATGCTAAGTTCAGGGTTTGCAAACTTCACACTGTGTTAGCTGAACCCAGTTTGAACCAACTTTTCAAACATCTCAAAATTACTTAGCATTATATAGGCATGGGCATTTGTTATGTACGCAAGCTTTTGTTGTGTTTCAAACATATATATCTACAAACTCAAAAATCTGAAGTAATGTAAAAGGAAAAGGAAACAGTAGATAGAATACACTGGTGACTCATTAATCTATAAAATAGCAAAAAGCCAACTTTATACCAGGTCAAACCCAATTCGAACCAACTGTTCAAACTAATCCCTAAAATGAATCAGAATTATACTGTATAGGAATGAACATTTGTTACGTAAGCAAGCTTTTGTTGTGCTTTAAACATGTATGTGTCCACAACCTCAAAAATCTGAGGTAATGTTAAAGGAAAAGGAAACATGTAGTAGATAAAATACACTGGTGACTCACTGACATATAAAATAGCAAAGAGCCAACTTTGTGCCAGCTATTCATGTGAAAACAACAAGCGTGCCAATAGTAGGAAACTCTGCCCAGATGTTAAGATGTGATTACTATGCACTTGGTAAAATGGGTTTGAACATTAAGATTACTGCAAGTCATTTTGGAGTTGTTAGGCATATAACAACAGCTTGTTCACATGATTCATTTAAAAACCGTTTTATTCTCCTAACTGTAGAATATTTTAGACTTCCTTTCATTTACTGCATACAATATATCTTATACCAAGCAGAAATTTATTTGCTCTCAATTTAGCAAAGTGGTTGAATTTTGTTTTCACTTTCCTCAATTACATGTTTTGGCAGTTTAAATGGATTATGCCATTTTCATTGTGCTTTATTTACAAAAACTTTATGTTGATTGCTTGTGATATGTGCAATATTGTGAAGTCATTTTATGTTCTGCTTTGTTACCACCACTGGTCTAAGTCCAAAATAGTTTTTCAGTTTACATAACAGACAAGGAGAGCTTATGAGAAAAAAAGAGCATTCTAGATTTTCTCACAGTGTTCTCAAAATTCAGCAAAGTTAAAAGAACAAAAATGTATAGTGGTAAATATACAGTATTGTCTTCATTTACCAAAGGGATATCTATCCAGCTAAACCAGTAAAACACAGTTAAAACGTAGAAAGAAATTGCTTTAAATGCTGGCAGGGCTATGGAGGAATTAGCTGAAGAGGAGGAGTAGGAAAAGGGTGCATAAGCAGGACAATAAAAACAACACTGCTCTGCACCCTTGAAAAGGAGGAAAATAAAGTTAACAAGTTTTTAAGATTTAAAAATTAGATAGTGTCTGTATGGCTAATATCTAAATTCCCTCTTAATCCTAGCTGCTAGCACCCTTGTGATTCACTTCAGAAAATAAAAAATAAAATGTAAATAATGTGCAGTGCTAATCTACTAAAATCAGATAATAAACCGCATATAACAAGTACAGTATATGTGAAAAAACATGGCATATTGCACCATACAAAATACGCAGACCAATTCCAATAAAGTAAAGACATTTCTCAAAACCTCCTTATAATCATAAGTGAGTACCCTTAAAACATTTATCCCTGTGTGCTTAAATAGCCTGTGATATTCACAAATAAAAAGACCAAAATTCTTCAGTGCAAAACACAAATCTTCAATCTTCAAATCTTCAATGTGCAATTGTGTTTTCATACACAATGAGATCCAAATCTTATGCAAATCTTGTTCAAGCTCCTCCCTAATTGCACTGTATACTAGTTCAGACACAATGGGGTTGATTTACTAAAGGCAAATAGTCTGTACACAGAAAGTGCACCTGCAAGTGCACTTCAGGTGCACTGCAAGTGCAGTTGCTTTATATCCAAGGGAAACTCTGAAATGAGGCAAAGCTCTGCTGATTTCTTTCATCCAATCATGTGCCAGAAAAACTGCTGTTTTTTTTATTTTCATTGCACGTTCCCCTCAGTTCTAGAACACCTGCACTTGCAATGTACTTCCAAGTGTGCTTGGAGTGCACTCATAGTGCACAGCTTATTTGCCTATAGTAAATCAACCCCCCAGTGTCACATAAAGCTCACCAGAGATCTTGGACCTTTGGGGTTTAGGAGGTCAATATCAGCCTCATCCAGGGGCGGACTGACAATTCATGGGGCCCCCGGGCAATAGGGGATCATGAGGCCCCTGTGTCCTTGCCCAAACTCAAGAAAGCCTATGAAAAAGGTACCAGGGGCATCTCATGGGGCCCCCTACTTACCCCGGGCCCTTGGGCAGTTTCCAAATGGTCAGTCCGCCCCTGGCCTCATCAGTAATCCAGGACTCCAGTTATAATCACTCCTTTCCACCTGGCTCCAAACTCACTCCTCCAATATAAACAATACATGCAGCTCTCTCCTCAGGGAATCATTAAACCAATAGTGTTCTTCACCATACTACATTTTTTAAAATCAGATTAAGAATGCTTATATATAGATTGTGTGAAATGACATATAGAAAACCTCTTTCTACATGTTATGTCCGGAACAGACTTCATGGCTTGCATGGTGATGGTGATTCCCCAGTCTCTGAGTCTTTGTCCATTCCAGACATAGCATGTAAGATGGGGTTTTCTGTATGACATTACCATGCTATAGCTGGCTAACCTGACACTATCCTGAGAGGAGAGAAGTGCTGAGAGACAATCCCTTTTCTGTTACATGTGAAAATGGTTAGAATGGATTCTCAAATTTGCTCTTTTGTAGAATTTAATAGGGTTCGATTTTAAGCTTGCTTCAAGCAGGATTCAATGAACCTCCTACAAACTGAACCTGAGCACATCTGCTAATTCTTAGTTACATACACTTTTCAGAGCATGTAGACTCAATGAATCTGATAAAAAATAGATAAATCAGACCAGAGGTAAATCAATACACTGCTCTTGTATTATGAGTCCAAATGTGTATGGATATCAACTCACAGGGGCGGACTGACAACTCATGGGGCCCCCGGGCAATAGGGGATCATGGGGCCCCTGTGTCCTTGCCCAAACGCAAAAAAGCCTATGAAAAAGGTACCAGGGGCATCTCATGGGGCCCCCTACTGACCCCGGGCCCTCGGGCAGTGCCCAAGTTTCCAAATGGTCAGTCCGCCCCTGTCAACTCACAATTGTGATCCCTGAACTTATTTAGCAGATTGTACACTGATGTTCAATGCATACAATGGCTTCCTAGTTTGCCGTGCAAGTTGAGCATGCCAATAATGCAACTTTTTGTGACTTCTTTTCTTGTTCAAATTGTTTATTGGGTTACAGAGATAATTTACATATAGTAAAGTACTACAAGTAGCATCATATGTAACAAAGAGGAAAATATGAGGCTCAGGGCCTTTAACCACTAGCCTACAGGACACTTATACCCCCTTCCTGCCCAGGCCAATTTCCAGGTTTCAGCGCTGTTGCACTTTGAATTACAATTGCGTGGTCAATGCAACACTGTACCCATATGAAATTTTTATCATTTTTTTGTGACAGATAGAACTTTATTTTGGTGGTATTTAGTCACCTCTGGGTTTTTTATTTTTTCTTAAACAAACCAAAAACCACTGAAAATTTTGGGAAAAAAATTTTTTTCTTAGTTTTTGTTATAAAATTTTGTAAATAAGTGATTTTTCTCCTTCACTGATGTGCGCTAATGAGGCTGCACTGATGGGCACTGATAGGCTGCACTGATGGACACTGATAGGTGGCACTGATGGGCACTGATGAGGAGGCACTGGTAGGTGGCACTGATGGGCATTCACAGGCATCACTGATGGGCACTGAAAGACAGCACTGATACATGGAACTGATTGGCAGCACTGATAGGTGGCACTGACGGGGACTAATAGGCGGCACTGACTGGCACTGGCACTGTTAGGCGGCACTGACTGGCACTGACTTAGGCAGCACTGACAGGCACTGATAGGCAGCACTGATACACACTGATAGGCAGCACTGGCTGGCACTGACAGGTGGCACTGACTGGCACTGATAGGTGGCACTGATTGGCAGCACTGATAGGTGGCACTGATTGGCATTGATAGGTGGCACTGACTGGCACTGATGTGTGACACTGAAAGGCAGCTCAGATGGGCACTGATATGTGGCATCAATGTGCACTGGTAGGCACGGATATGTGGCACTGATGGGCACTGGCACGAGGCACTGATGAACACTGACACAAGGCACTGATGGACACTGACAGATGGCACTGCTGGGGCTACACTGATCATCAGGGAACACTGATCATCAGTGCCCTGATGATCAGTGTACATATCCCCTCCGCGGAAAGCCGATTACTGGCTCTCCTCTCCTCTCGAGCTGTCAGCGTGACAGCTCGAAAGGAGAGAAATGCCGATAACCGGAATTTCCCTGTTTTACATGTGATCAGCTGTGATTGGACACAGCTGATCACATGACCGAGCCGATATCTTTGGCTCTTTCCGTGATCGGTGATCCTCTGTGTCCGAGGGACACAGCGCACCGCCAATCGCCACGCTGCACGCTCCTTGAGAGAATGAGAGGACGTCATATGACGTCCCTCCCAGAATGAGAGAGCCACCTTGCGCCCGTCACATTACTATATGGCGGGTGGGAGGTGGTTAAGCAACTGTATGATTACAACAACTGTATGCACTGAATAAAATAACCAAAGAGAGAAAAAGGGAAGAAATAAAGAAGGAAGCGAAAAGAGTAGAGAATAGTAGAAAAAGGGGGGGAGAGAAAGGGGGACAGATAGGGTGTGTGACTACCAGGATGGGGGGGGAGCGGGACCAGTGCTCCGAAGCATCTATCGAGGAAGGGATGCATTAAGGGAGGAGTAGAGACTCATTAAATCCCTGAGGAAGGAAGTGGTCAACCCAGGGGGACCAGGTCAATAAGAATTTGGAGATTGTGTCGGTGACGGTGGCCTCTATTTTAGCGTGTATCATCGACTGTGTCTAGACCGATTGTACACTGAGTGAGGGGGCCTTCCAGGATTTCGCTATGATTTGCTTAGCGGGGGTTGTAATTTGCAAAATAAGCTTAAACTGGGTTTTAGAAATAGAGGGGGGGCGATGATTGAGTAGGGCAAATTCTGGACTTGGCACAAAAGGCTTTTTAAAAAAGGGTGGATAATATGCGGAAAATATTTTCTCAGAAAGAGTGGGCTATCGGGCAGGACCACCAAATGTGGAGGTATGTGCCGTTCACCACACACAGTACCCAGGTGTAAATTTAGCAACCCACGAAAAACATCGGGGGAGTACACCTTATAGTTTGTCTCAACTGCCACTACATTTTGCGAAGAGGATTTGGTTACCTGCCAAATATGATGCCAATCTTCAGGGCTCAGCTGTGAGGCTAGGTCCCTCTCCCACCTGGTGACATATGAGGGGCGAGAGGAAGGTATGGGGGTCGAGAGTTGAACATAAAGAATAGAAATAAGGCCACGTCTATGAGGATCTTTTCTACATGCACTTTCAAAGGGGGTCATTGATCTAACGGAGCATGCGGTAGTGGAGAGAGGGGAATAGAAATGCTTCAGTTGGAGGTAGCGGAAAATTTCTAACACAGGGAGAGAGTGAGATTCATGGAGGGATGGAAAGGAACGAAACTCGGAGTTAGTCAAAAAATGGTGGGCTCTTAAGAGATTAGCAGAAGACCAGAGATGAAAGGAGCGAGGAGTGGACCAAGCTGGGGGGAAAGCTGGGTTGCGAAGATGAGATAGAAGAGGGTTGTGGGGCGATTGGAGGGAATATTGGGATTTGAGTTTGTCCCAGAGTGCTATAAAATGGGAGGTTATTGGATTCCGGATCCCGCGACAATCAGAAGGGTGAAGCCAAAGTAGGTTAGCTAATGAGAGGGGATCAATATCAATTGACTCCAGATTACCCATTGACGGATTTCATAAGATGCATGATACTTTGGCAATTGGGCTAGGTGGGCCGCTTCGTAATATTTTGCGAAATTCGGGTGTCCTAGACCTCCTTTCAATTTTGGTAGATGGATAGTGGAGCGGGGGACGAATTGAGCCCCAAGTGTAAGAGTGAGCTCGACGTTGAAGTGTGTAGAGAAAGTGTGCCGGTACAGGCATGGGAAGAACTTGGAAGAGAAAAAGAATCTTGGGTAGAATAGACATTTTAACCACCGTTATCCTACCTAGCTAAGCTAGCAGGAGGGAGGACCAGTTGCGCATTAAACTAGTGAGGGAGGCGAGCATCGGTAGGTAGTTAGCTGAGTCTAGATCAGATAGAGACGCCGTCAACTTGATACCTAAATAGGGAATAGCATGGTGGGAGCATGAGAAGGGGAGAACTTGCTGAAGATGGAGAGAATCTTGGGGGGAAAGTGAAATGTACAGGACTGTAGATTTTTGGGGATTAACTTGGAGACCAGAAATGGCGCCAAATTCATAGAGGAGCCAAAGTAGTGGTGGAGCGGAGGTGAGAGGAGAGGTCAAAAAGAGTAGTACATTGTCTGCAAATAAACAGAGTTTGTGATGGGACCCGTCAGCCTCTAGGCCACGAATGTCAGGGTATGCCCGAATCAGAAGGGCTAAGGGTTCGATTACTTGGGCGAAGAGGAGTGGTGAGACATCCCTGATGAGTACTACGAGCTATTGGGAAAGAGGCCGATTTGTGACCCATATATCGAACTTGGGCAGAAGGGTTCCAGTAGAGTGAGAAGTTACAGGTAAGGAAAGGAGGGCCAAAGCCCCATCGGCGTAAGATATAGTGGAGGAAAGGTAGGAAACAGTATCAAAGGCTTTTTTAATATCTAGGGATAAGAAGCAGGAAATAATGTTCCGTGTGCATGCAAGGTTGAAGAGAAAAGCTGTGCATCGTGTATTGTCCCCTGCTTGTCAAAGGGAATAAACCAGTCTGATCGTTATGGATAAGAGAGCCTATAATGGGGTTTAAACGAGTGGAGAGAACATTGGCAAGGAGTTTGACGTCAATATTGAGAAGGGAGATCGGTCTGAAATTAGACGAGGCAGAGTCATAAGAATGTGGTTTTGGTATCATCGAGATGATACCAGATACTATCTCTGGGGTAAATGAATGGCCCGAGAGGATGGCGTTAAAGGCTTTTGTAAGAACAGGAGAAAGTAAATGATTGAATTTTTTGTAATAAGAGGCTGAAAAGCCGTCTGGGCCTGGACGTTTTCTGAGCTTGAGTTCCTTAATTGCGGACAGAACCTCGAAATCCGAGATCAGTTTCTGCAGTATGTCGAGGTGCTGGGCAGCCAAGGTCGGAAAGGAAAGGTAGGCAAGAAGATTGTCAGCTCGGGATTGGTCGAAGGGCTCAGTCTGGGAGTACAGTGCGGCTAAGTGTTTACGGAAAATACGGAGTATGCGAACAGGGTTGCTAGTATAAACTCCGCTGGAAAGCTTAAGACAAATGAGTTTGGTGGTAGGGTCTAATCTACGAAGACAAAGGGCTAAAAAAGTATCTGGTTTATTAGCCTTAGTATAATATTTATGGCGTCCCCTGTGTAGAGAAAGTTCAGCTTGGTCAGTCAGGAAGAGGTTGAGTTCGACACGGGCTTGTTCCAAAGCTTTGCGGTGAGAAGGGGAAGGGCTGGTCTGAAATAAAAGGTGAGACTGATTATAGGCCGCCTCAAGGCGTAAACGAGTTTGTTGTTTCTCTCTGCAGAGGAAAGAACGGACTTATGCGCTTCCCATAAAAGAAGAGTGGAGATATCTGGGGTAGAGTTTAGAGCTAGATATTCCTTGAGAGCATTCTCAAGGTCAAGACTATGTTCAGGATGGGAAAGCAAGTTGTCGTTGATCACCCATGTACTATTAGAGTTTGGAATGGATAGGGAAGAAAGGGACGTAACGACTGCACAATGATCGGACCAAGGGATGGGGAGAATATCAGAGTATAAAAGTCTGGAGGAGGTGCCAACTGTCACAAATATATGGTCAATGCGCGAGAACAATTTATGAGGGTAGGAGTAGTAGGTGTAGCTACATTTTACAGGGTGGAATTCTCTCCAGGAATCTATCAAGGAATGGCAATTAAGAAGTTGTGAGAAAGAATGTGAGGTGGCTGGAGGGAGGGGTGGCTGAGGAGATTTGTCCAGAAATGGATATACAGTGAGATTGGAGTCCCCACAGATAAGTAGAGTACCGCGCTTGTGATGTTCTATGGTTGTCAACAGGTGGGAGAGGAACGGGAGGGAATCTTGATTGGGGGTGTAGTAGGAGACAAATGTAACTAAGGTATCTAGGAGCAAACCCGATAGGATAAGGTAACGACCTTCCGGATCTTCATGTTGAGTGTGAAGTATGAAGGGGGCTGTGCGATGGAAGGCAATGAGGACTCCCTTACACTTAGTTTTCACGGAGGCGGTGAAGGTTTGCAGGTAGAGAGGACCAAAAAAAATTAGGTGTAGAAGAGGGGGTGAAGTGGGTTTCCGGTAAGCATATGATGTGTGCTTTCTGGGAAGCGAAGAATCGAAAGGCTTTGTTTCACTTTTGAGGGATTTTCAAACCCTGAACGTTCAGGGAAAGAATGTTTAGGGGTCCCATTGCGAAAATAGGGAAACTGCTAAAGGAAGTTGGAACCAAAGCGAAGCGCTGGGGAGGTGGGCCCAGGGAGAGGGGGCATGAGGGAAGGGTAAGGGGGAAGGAGGAAGGGAGGGAGTCACACGTAAGGAATAAAGAAAAGTAGAAACAATAGTAGGAATAAGTGAAGGGAAAGAGAGAAAGAGGAGTAACTGAGAACAATGACCTGGCCCCCGGGACTAAAGCAATTTGGACAGGCCGAGGGGTCAGGAACAGCCCAGATGGTGCAAAATAGATGCACCACATAAGCTGAGGGGAATACGCAGTGACAGGCTGAGAGGACAAGCAGCGCATGATAAAAAATACAAACAGGTGCCAAATGTAGAAAATGGTATCTGGGGCTCCCAGGACAGTAAAGGGAGGGTCTGGACAGACAATGGCGCCAGAGAAAAATGCACCAAACAAAGGGAGGTGGTGCAAGGATAGGAATAGAAGGCATGCACGGTTAGAGTCCAGATCCCCTAAACAGTAATGAGAGACTTCCACAAACATAGTCATCGGCTCAGGTGACCTAAAGAGGGAAGTAGAAAGGTTAACAAACAATTTACAACTTAACAAAGGTAACATGGGATTTAGGAAACAAAACAACCCGTGCGGTCATATGTGATATCATTAGGAGCACAGGATCAGGAGGAGGACCCGGTGTGGGTCAGTGGGATAGAGAGGAAGACCACCAGGCCAATTGGTAGTAAAAGGGGGAAAGGGATAAGCAGTAAGGAAATAAGTGAGGATGAGGTCTCTTCATGGGGAGAGTCAAATGTATGATCAGCTGGTGATGGTTGAAGGAGGAACTGGTGTCCACAATGGGGGTGTGGGTGAAAAATCAAGAGGGTCGAGTCCCGAAGACTTTCAGGTGCGTGAACTGAACTGAGGAGATAAAGATGATTAGAGCATGGTTCAGTTCATGGTGTCTTGAGGAGTGGGTACTGGAGAGATTAAGCGCCCACGTTTATGCGTGGCAGGTTGATCTGTTGCTGAAACAGAGTGGTGGGTTTTCTGGGGCGAGCAGGAGGCAGACCTTCTGCGCGATCCTTCTGGAGCCTCTGGGCGGGGTGGAGGTGAAGGTGGCGGAGTGTGTCAAGTATTTCCTTAGAGGATCTGCAGATATAGTCACGGGACTGGTAGGAAAAGCGCACCACAAAAGGAAAGCTCCAGCGGTAGGGGATGCCATGCTGGTGGAGGAGTTGCAGTTGGGGCTTCATGGCTCTGCGTTTAGCGATGGTGGCTGGACAGAGGTCATGAAACAATTGGTATGTATGGCCTTGGAAGGTGAGGGTGTCAGGATTCCGAGCCGCTTGGAGAATATGTTCTTTGGTGAGGAAATAATGGAATTTTGCAATAATGTCCCGGGCGGGCCGGTTGGTCTGCGTGGGGCTAGAGCGCAATAAACCCTGTACAGCTCCAAACATTCAATCGGGATTGATAGAGAGAGCTCTTGTAGCAAGGCGGCTGTCGTAGAGAAGAGATAAGTGATGGTTTCAGGGAGTCCGCGGATTCGGATGTTAGAACAGTGGGCCCTGTTTTCAAAATCCTCAAGGCGGGACTGAAGCGTTAGGTTTTTGTCATGCATCACCATGAGTTTGTCTGAATAAGTGTGAACTTCTGCATCCAGATTGTCAACCCTGTGTTCTAGCTCAACTGTGCAGACACCCAGGTCACAAATTTCTTTAGAAAGTAATGTGGTCAGAGGTCTGCTTTAAATCTCTGTGCAGCATTTTTTCAAACTGTTTGAGTAGGTTATGTTGCACTGGGTAAGGACTAGGTCTAGAGGAGTCTTTCAGAGGTAATGGGTTTAGTGTCCCTTTAACTGTGCTGTTATCAGACTCACCCTCTGAGCTGCTGTGGTCTGGATCTGGCTGCAGTGCTGTAAAAGACATGGACAGGGAGTGTGCTTGCTTCCCTGATGCAGTGGAGCCGGTGGCCATCTTTGTGGAGGCCCGAGCCAGGGCTTCCTTAATAGGTCTCACTTGGCCCTGGTGCTTCGTGGCTCCCCAGACCATTGTGCCGGGTCTCGGGGATGCCACTTATGTTGTTAAGGCTGCGAGGGGTTTGCAGAGCTCAAGGGGGTCGGGAGCCGTGTCAGTACGGCCACTTGTCCCTGTCCGCAGCGGAGCCTCAGGCATGCATGAGTGCGCAGGAGATCCCGTGCATGCACACTCCTTGTGACTTCTTTTCTAGAAGATACATATATCTTGCTCACAGCAACAAAAAAAAAAAAAACTAAAGAATCTAAAGAATACATCTAAAGGTACACCTCCAGTAAATGTCAGTAACTGGAATATGCAGAACTGATGTAGATTTACAAATCACATCATTCTTTCTATATTAGTGATGAGAGCATAATTGCTTGAGGAATCTCTTTGGATTAAAGCGGAGACGAGCTTAAGGTTCAGTCTGAACACAAGTTCATAACAAACTTTGGTTGTTTGGGTGTTTGGATGAGCGCCCAAATGTTTATCCATTCAGTGGGAGCAGAACACCATTTATAATAGTGGTATTACTTCTGATATCATACAGCTGACAGCTTTGGACTGTCCATAGCTGTTAAGGATGCTGGTGGGTGCATGTACCACCAAGTCCTTAACAAAGGACTACCTAAAAAGTCTGACATTACACAGCTCACCTCTACAGTAGGGAATGGCTTTAAAGAGGCCCTAGAGCATTTCAAATCTGAAATTACTGCCCTATTGTGTGGAGGCTGTTCATTCGGGGCAGGAGGATATTGTCCACATTTTGGACTTGCTGGGCTCGAAGATATGACATGATTGAATCACTCCTTCCTAGATACATTAGTTACCCCCTGTGTGGTTTCTATTCAGAAGGGCAGCTGCTTGTTTCAAGTTTCAAATTACAAAACACTCAGGCATGAATGGGGCTTAAGATCTGGAAAAACATAAATATTATTTATTTATTATTACACTTGGTGAAGGGTTTGTTAACCACTTGCCCTCCAGAGGATTTACCCCCCTTCCTGACCAGGCCATTTTTTGCGATAGGGCACTGGATTACTTTACCTGACAATTGTATGGTCATACAACACTACACCCAATTGAAATTTTTGTCTTTTTTTTCCCACAAATAGAGATTTCTTTAGGTAGTATTTGATTGCCTCTGCAGTTTTTATTTTTTGCGCTATAAACAAAAAAAGACTAACAATTTTGAAAAAAAACTATATTTTTTACTTTTTGCTATAAAATATATATCCTATAAAAAAATTTAAAAACTCAAATTTCATCATAAATTTAGGACAACATGTATTCTGCTACACGTCTTTGCTAATAGAAATCCCAATACATGTAAATTAATTGGTTTATTGAAAGTTATAGCATCTAGAAATGTATAGTATATATACTGGAATTTTTTTTATACTAGTAATGGTGCTGATCAGCGACTTATAGCGGGACTGGGGACTGTATGACTGCAGTGGGAATACTGCAAATGGGGGGGAACTGACTAATTGCCACTGACATCCCCAGTGACACTAATACAGTGATCAGTGCCAATAAAAAGCACTGACAATGTACTAATGACACTGGGTAGAAACTGTGCTGTGTGTGTTTTACTAGGGAAACAAGCTGCTTTGTATTGCTGTGCTGTGCAGAGCAATACAAAGCAGCCTGATCGTGCTGACAGGGGAGAGATCTGTGTTGTTTACACACAGACCTCTCCCTTTTCACTGTTCCTTGGTGATTGTGGGGCCTCTACCAAGGGAATGCAAAATCACGTACAGTGGGGCAAAAAGTATTTAGTCAGCCACCAATTGTGCAAGTTCTCCTACTTAACCTCTTGCCGACCGCGCATAGCCGAATGACGGCTTCACCGCGGCCGGCCAGTTCTGAGTGGACGTCATATGACGTCCTCCCAGAACGAGCTCTCCTGCGCGCCCCAGGGGGCGCGCACCCGGCGATCTCCGTGATCGCTGTGTCCTACGGACACAGCTGATCACGTGATGTGGTGAAAGGCCGATCCCACCTGCCTTTTACCACGTGATCAGCGGTGTCCAATGACACGCTGATCACAGGGAAAGGCAAGTGCCGGTTCTCGGCTGCACTTTCCTCACGCTGTCACATCGTGAGGAAAGTACTGCCGAGAACCGGCAGTTGTCAGAGCGGGGATCGGCACCGATCATCAGGGCACTGATGATCAGTGCCCTGATGATCGGTGCCCAGCAGTGACACCCGCAAGTACCGCCCAGCAGTGCGCCCACTAGCTCCGCCCACCCGTGCCCAGCAGTGCCCCCACCTGTGCCCAGCAGTGCCCCCACCTGTGCCCAGCAGTGCACCCACCTGTGCCACTCTGCAGTGCCACCTACCGTGTGCCCAGAAGTGCCACCTTCATGTGCCCAGCAGTGCCACCCACCTGTGCCCACCCACCTGTGCCCACCAGTGCCACCCACCTGTGCCCACCAGTGCCACCCACCTGTGCCCACCCACCAGTGCTGCCCACCAGTGCCACCCACCAGTGCAGCCCAGCAGTGCTGCCAGTCAGTGCCACCAGTCAGTGCCCAGGGGTTGTGCCAGTCAGTGCCGCCAGTCAGTGCCCAGAAGTGATGCCAGTCAGTGCCGTCTATCAGTACCCATCATCAGTGTCACCTATCAGTGCCGCCTATCAGTGCTGCATATCAGTGCCGCCTATCCGTGACCCCTAATTAGTGCTGTCTATCAGTGCCGCCTATCCGTGCCACCTCATTAGTACTGCCTATCAGTGCCCTTTAGTGCTGCCTATCAGTGCCCATCAGTGCCGCCTATCAGTGCCCATCAGTGCCGCCTCATCAACGCAAATCAGTGAAGGAGAAAAAATACCTGTTTGAAAAATTTTATAAAAGAAACAAATAAACTTTTTTTTTTTTTTTCAAATTTTTTGCACTTTTTTAATTTATAGCGCAAAAAGTAAAGCGCCCAGTGGCGATTAAATACCACCAAAAGAAAGCTCTATTTGTGAGAAAAAAATGATCAAAATTTCATATGGGTACAATGTTGCATGACCGCGCAATTGTCAATCAAAGTGCGGCAGCGCTGAAAGCTGAAAATTGGCTTGGTAAGGAAGGGGGTATAAGTGCCTGGTAGGCAAGTGGTTAAAAAGATGAGAGAGCCATGTAATTGGTATCATAGGTAGACCTCAACTATGAAAGACAAAATGAGAAATAAAATCCAGACAATCACATTGGCTGATTTGGAAAGAATTTATTTGCAAATTATGGTGGAAAATAAGTATTTGGTCACCTACAAACAAGCAAGATTTCTGGCTTTCACAGACCTGTACCTTCTTCTTTAAGATGCTCCTCTGTCCTGCACTCATTACCTGTATCAATGACACCTGTTTGAACTTGTTATCAGTATAAAAGACACCTGTCCACAACCTCAAACAGTCTCACTCCAAACTCCACTATGGTGAAGAACAAAGAGCTGTCGAAGGACACCAGAAACAAAATTGTAGACCTGCACCAGGCTGGGAAGGCTGAATCTGCAATAGGCAAGCAGCTTGGTGTGAACAAATCAACTGTGGGAGCAATAATTAGAAAATGGAAGACATATAAGACCACTGATAATCTCCCTCGATCTGGGGCAAGATCTCACCCCGTGGGGTCAAAATGATCACAAGAACAGTGAGCAAAAATCCCAGGACCACACTGAGGGACCTAGTGAATGACCTGCAGAGAGCTGGGACCAACATAACAAAGGCTGCCATCAGTAACACACTACGCCACCAGGGACTCAGTTCCTTCAGTGCCAGACATGTCCCCCTGCTTAAGCCAGTACATGTCTGGGCCCATCTGAAGTTTGCTAGAGAGCATTTGGATGATCCAGAAGAGGATTGGGAGAATGTCATATGGTCAGATGAAACCAAAATAGAACTGTTTGGCTGTTTCTCCGGGACGACTGCTCCATGTACAGGACAGGCCATGTATCATGAGATTTTGAGCGCAAACCTCCTTCCATCAGCAAGAGCATTGAAGATGAAACGTGGCTGGGTCTTCCAACATGACAATGATCCCAAACATACCGCTCGGGCAACGAAGGAGTGGCTTCGCAAGAAGCATTTCAAGGTGCTGGAGTGGCCTAGCCAGTCTCCAGATCTCAACCCCATAGAAAACCTTTGGAGGGAGTTGAAAGTCCGTGTTGCCCAGCGACAGCCCCAAAACATCACTGCTCTAGAAGAGATCTGCATGAAGGAATGGGCCAACATACCAGCAACAGTGTGTGCCAACCTTGTGAAGACTTACAGGAAATGTTTGACCCCTGTCATTGCCAACAAAGGATATATAACAAAGTATTGAGATGAACTTTTGATATTGACCAAATACTTATTTTCCACCATAATTTGCAAATAAATTCTTTCCAAATCAGCCAATGTGATTGTCTGGATTTTTTTTCTCTTTTTGTCTCTCATAGTTGAGGTCTACCTATGATGCCAATTACAGGCCTCTTTCATCTTTTTAAGTGGGGAGAACTTGCACAATTGGTGGCTGACTAAATACTTTTTTGCCCCACTGTATATGTACATGATTTTGCACAGCTCTGCTGCTCTGTAGCAGTAGTTCTGCTATAGGGCAGTCGGGAAGCGGTTAAATAAAGTTTGTCCCTGTAAACTATAAATATAGACCTAAAATTCTTCAGGTCTGTAAAATATTTTTATTTTCCTATTGTAATGTCATCAAGATACTAGTAGTTCACATTATCTTGACAATGTCAAAACTATGTAGAGTTTTTAACATGGCTCGGGTAAAGATTAAGGCAAATTTTAATAAAGATTCAAAACTTCTCACAATTTGATTAATTGAGTTGAACGTCTGTAATAATCATTTCAGTGATAGTTTCAACAAATTTTGTCACAAAGTTAATTTTTATGGCAAAAAAGCAAATTATGATCTTCTAGACTGAAATCAAATGTTGACTTGTCATTACCAATTTAAGATGGGATCTAGCAGGTAAACATTTTCCATGCAATCCATACTTTTAGCTGTCATTTTAGGTTCATTATTAATTAGGGATGAACAAATGTGCATAGGTTTAGTTCACTAGGCAATCGTCAAACCCATTAAAAATGAAACCTTAAATACAAAAACAAAATCCAAAACCTATTCAAATCTAAGAGAGATGAATTTTGAAAATCAGTTCTGGTTATTTTCAAGGCTAATAAGATTGTCAAACAATGGACATGAAGAGCTGGGTACTGCCATTGGGGACCATTGCCACAGCAAAAGAGACCAACGAAAAAACACTTTGCAGTCTTTGGGTACTGTCAATGCAGAGGAGGGTTGGGGTGCTGTTTGGGAGAAGGAGGGCTATTCAGGTTTTTGTTTTTTTTTCACCTGAAAGGTCTGTGGGATAAAACATATCAAGAGCAACTTCAGAAACTTAACATGTACAATCTGTAGGAAAGAAGGAAAAGGGGAAACATGATTGAAACCTTTAAATACATCAAGGGGTGAATGAGGTTCAGGAGGGCAATATTTTCAACATGAAACCAAAATCAAGAACGTGGGGACATGACCCTAAACTAACTGGAGGAGAGTTCAAAATTAATCTCAGAAAGTACTATTTTACTGAAAGAGTAGTTGATGCTTGGAATAAACTCCCAGAGGCAGTGAGCCAGTCAACAGTAAATAGCTTCAAACATGTATGGGACAAGCATAGATCTATACTCAGACAAAAACAACACAAACAAAAAAAAAAACACCCCCCAAAAAAAAAAAAAAAAAACCTACAGACTAAATGGACCATTCTGTCTTTTTCTGCCACCACTTTTCTATGTTTCACCAATATTTAATTAAAATACATCCCATCCCAGAATGAGCCCAACACTCTGAAGAGGCCATTTTGTGTTGGGGGCTTGATCCACTGTACTGTAAGTGTAATTGCAGGGGGGAAATCTAGGGGAAACAACTACAAGGTGGTTTTGGTTTGAAAATTGTTACTGACACAAGAAAAGCTGCTCCTTCTGTACAGCATGATACATCTTCTGGTGCATATTTGTGCAGTACAGATATGTGCACCAAAGCACCCCTTTTTCCCATTTACCATAGCTGCCAATAAATGTTGTCAACCCCCTTTATTACTTTGTAGAAAATGGTCTGCTGGGCCTAAAGTAAGAAGCAGAGACTCTGTACACAAAGATAGTTGGGTTTTTTGTAAGTTTTTTTTTTTTTTTCAAAATAGGTTTCACTGGACATACCAGGATACACCTGGAGAGCACAGACCATAAAAACTTCATTATTCCATCCAAGTACAATATTATTACAATTAAAACACAAATGTTACAATATTGCAATAAGTTCAGTAGAAACCAAATATAAGGTCAATGACATTAATGCTGGACACGTAATTATCAAAGATTTATGCAACATATGGTGTTTGGTATAAGCCATTCAGTGTAAATAAAGAGGTGGAGACTCAGCTCCTTGCATAGATCAAAAGGGCTGCAAGGGCTGGGACAATGATAATAATGGGGGATTTTAACTACCTGGAAATTGACTGGAGTAATGGTACTACAGGAACAGTTAAAGAGCGAAAATGTATAAACCTACTACTACATGACAATTTTATGGTACAGTTCATAGAGGGCCCAACTAGGAATGATGGGACATCAAGGCCGCAAAAATTTTAAATGAATGACAAATTGCAAAAGATAGCAGGACCAACCCCCAAAATTTCAAATATATTAATAGTAAAAAAGTCAAGTCCGAGCATGTAGGCCCTTTACAAAATAATCTGGGTGACTGGGGATAAAGCAAAGGCAAATTTATTAAATACCTTCTTCAGCTCTGTCTATACAAAGGAGCATGGGGGAGCTCTTGTCCATAATGAGCATGGTATTGACACAACCTCAGAGGATCCACATCGGCTCACAACTGATATGATCCAGAAATATTTAGACAGAATAAAGGTGAATAAAGCACCTGGACCAAATGGCATACACCCACGGGTCCTTAAAGAATTGAGCTCTGTCATTTCAAAGCCATTGTTTCTTATTTTTAGGGCCAAGTAATTATAGACCTGTTAGTTTAACTTCTATAGTTGGGAAGATACTGGGGAGTTTAATAAAAGACCACATAGAAGAGTTCCTACTGGAAGAAAATATTTTAAGCAACAGACAGCATGGATTCATGAAAGACAGAAGTTGTCAAACAAATTTGATTTCTTTTTATGTGGTGAGCAAAACCTTGGACAGAGGGGTGGCTGTGGTATATTTAGATTTTGCAAAAGTTCCCCACACATGGCTAATGTGTAAGGTAAAGTCTACGGGCTTGGAAAAATATGTATGTAAATGGATAGAAAACTGGCTAAAGATCGTATTCAGAGAGAAGTGTTAATAATTCATACTCTGAATGGTCTAGGGTTGTTAGTGGTGTACCCCAGGGTTCAGTGTTGAAACTCTTACTTTTTAATTCATTTATAAATGATATACCATCTGGGATTAAATATAT